GCCCATTGAGTGATTTTATTTTTCTTTTTGGTTTCAAGGCTGGAAGGGAAAAAAAAATAAAACAACCATCACAATTGAAAACTATCAGATCACAAGCTCATAGCATCAATTGAATATCAAAGAATCCCACCGATCTAGCTAGATCGGGATAGGAGGCACTAGACGGGGAGTAAAACTTGCCTGCAGCACGGTCTGCAGATAATCAGTTCGACTATTCCCTAGCTTAGGCTGGAGGAAGAAACAAAGAGCTGAGACCAGGGAAGTATAGAAACGGGCAAAGACCAATGAGAACAATGACGTTGAGGTTCCCGTGGGATCCGCAACTGATCCACCCGCGGCGTTTGGGCGACGGTTCGAGACAGTTCGACCACCACCGCGTGCCCGGTTTGGTCAATCTTGGTCAAGGTTGGCATCACCCCTTCTTACCACTCACAGTCGCACCCTTTGCACATGGATTCGAGGGTTGGTTCAGCAAGAAGGAATTGCACGGGAAAAGTAGGAATAGGTCGCAACAAGGGGGTTGAAGATGCTGGTAGGTACTTGATAAGAAAATAGATAGAGAGAAAGAAAGAGAGAAAGGAGGGGCAGATGATAGGGGGGGAGAAAAAGGCGGACAAGCAAGATCAATACTAGGTAAACAGAAAGTAGTCCACGACTAACTAACCTACAGTACAATACTCTAATCCCCCATATGGAGGGGCTCGATGAGGCGGTGGTGAAGTAATAACCAACCCAACAATAGTCTACACACTATTATTATTCTTTTGCCAGCCATCACTTAAGAAGGAAGTGGAGCTCTTCCTGATTGTTGTGTAGTGTGTACACCAGGGAAACCAAAATTACCACTTTAATCCTCTTCCAAGCCCTGTTCCTGATCTTTATCTGGGTTTCGCCCTTTCGCACTCCGATCTTTCTCCCTCCCTTCACCGATACGAAGCCAGAAAGTCATCACCACCTTTTCTTCCGTCTCCTCTCCCCTCTCTCCATCTCTCGCGCGCGCGCTCTCTCTCTCTCTCTCTCTCCATCGCATTATATTACTCTTCCAATTTCTCCTTCCTATCGCTAGACCCCAATTGACTTCCCTCTTGTTTTCTTTTTTCCCATTCCCATCCAAGCTCCCTCCAGATTCGATCAGAACAGAAGAAAAGCGGGGCACAACATCTCTTAGCTTTCCTAGCTTCTCTCCAATTCTCAATCTCATTTACCTGAACCACATTGAGTGTCAGCTGTCATGGCCAGCGACAATTCTTCACAGGGCGATTCCCGCCTGTTGATCGTCTCGAATCGGATTCCGATCACCATTCGACGATCGGCAGGAGGGAAGTATGAATTTTCCATGTCTTCGGGAGGATTGGTGACAGGATTGAGTGGACTCTCCAAGGCGACGACTTTCCAGTGGTATGGCTGGCCCGGACTGGAAGTACCTGAGGATGAGATTGAATCAGTGACTGCGCGACTGTCGGATGAGTTCAATGCGACTCCAGTCTTCATGGACGACAAATTGGCGGATCGTCACTACAATGGCTTTTCCAGTGAGTCGCTGCCCTAATCACCCGCCCCGCGCCTTAACCTACCCCTCTTCTTCTGCTGCTGCTGCTGCTCCTCCTGCGGCGGCGGTGGCTGCTACTGCTGCTGCTGCTGATGCCACTGCTCCTTCTGCCCCTCCCTGGGCATTTTGCCCGCATCTGATATGCGCCTGCATATTTCCCAGCTTCCGCGATAGCCACATGGCACCTAGCAACAGGCGCCTCCCCTCCCACTTCCCACTTCCCACTTCCCCCCTCCAATGGGTCGCCATGACTAATGTGAGCTGTCAGACTCTATTCTTTGGCCACTGCTACACTACCACCCCGGTGAAATCGTGTTCGACGAAGCGGCGTGGGATGCCTATCGTGAGGCGAACCGGCTCTTCGCTCGGACCATCGCGCGCGAGGCTCGCGACGGGGACTTGGTTTGGGTCCACGACTACCACCTCATGCTCCTACCGGAATATCTCCGCGAGGAGCTTCACGAGTTGGGCAAGAAGAATATCCGAATCGGATTCTTCCTGCATACCCCCTTCCCCAGTAGCGAGATTTACCGCATCCTGCCCGTGCGGAGTCAGCTCTTGCGCGGCGTGCTGCAGTGTGATTTGATCGGATTCCACACCTACGACTATGCGCGTCATTTCTTGAGCTGTTGCTCGCATATCCTGTAGGTCACCATCTTTTTCTTCCCACTCGGAGGTCCCGTCTGTCGCACGCTAACCGGCCGCCGTAGGGGATTGGTCACCACTCCGAGCAGCGTGGAATTCAAGGACAGGTCGGTCGCTGTCGGGGCATTCCCCATTGGCATTGATCCCGACAAATTTACCGAGGGTCTCAAAAGTCCCAAGGTGCAAAACCGGATCGCCAGCTTGGAAAGCAAGTTTGAGGGTACCAAGCTGATGGTCAGTGTCGACCGCCTGGACTATATCAAAGGTATCCCCCAGAAGCTGCATGCCTTGGAGGTCTTCCTGTCCCAGCACCCGGAATGGGTGGGCAAGGTCGTTCTGGTGCAGGTCGCCGTCCCGAGTCGTCAGGATGTCGAAGAATATCAGAACCTGCGGGCGGTGGTTAACGAGCTAGTCGGAAGAATCAACGGCAAATTCGGTAAGTCATTTTACCCCAGTCCAGTGACCGAACGTGTCTGGATAGCGCAACTGGACTAACTCACGGAATCACAGGAACGGTGGATTACATGCCCATCCACTTCATGCACAAGTCGGTGAGTTTTGACGAACTCATCGCGCTGTACGCCGCCTCGGACGCGTGTGTGGTGTCGTCGACCCGCGACGGAATGAATCTCGTTTCGTTCGAGTATGTCGCGACCCAGCAGAAGCGCAAGGGCGTGTTGATTCTGTCCGAGTTCGCGGGTGCCGCGCAAAGTCTTAACGGAAGTATCGTCGTCAACCCGTGGAACACGGAGGAGCTGGCCAACGCATACCACGAAGCGGTCTCAATGACCGACGATCTGCGTGCGCAGAAGTTTGAGAAGCTCTACAAGTACATTACCAAGTACACGAGGTAAGCTTACGTGGCCCCTCCCCCCTTTCTTCCTGCATTGCATGCAGAGACGGGCGATCTTCCCGCCCTGTCTCCTTCTTCCCTTCCCTTGCCTTCCCGCGCCACGCATGGAGGAGAACCAGAGTACTGACTGTTGTTCCACACTGATGTAGTGCATTCTGGGGCAAGTCTTTCGTCGCCGAATTGTCCAAGCTCTCGGCTGCAAACCCGGATGCTTGATCAATATCTATTGTCTATTGGCCTATCTACCCTTTTGTTTCGTTTCTTCTTCGGTTAACCCCTGGCATGCAATTCAATTTTGATACGACTCCGGCGCACGAGTGAGCATTTCACGATTATGTTTGATAGATTTAGCAGCAACAGCCTCTCACCTTTGCAAAGCACATGATATAGCATCGAATATAGGACAGGAACAATTGAAGAACAATAAAGAATCTGGAACACCGACATGTGGCAAGCCACCTACCTCAGGTATGAGTACGAGTACAAATGCCTAATCAACAAATCAAGTCCACCAAACCAAGCTTGGATCCTCCACATCGAACGTGTAGATGCCTATCCCTTCTATCTGAGTCGACCTCTTATCGCTGAATCATCAGGGACTACACCATCACTTCAACAAATACGTCATCCATCCACGTCAACACATTACAATGAACAGTACATCTAAGCTCGCCCCCTGCCCATGCCCATGCCCCCCGGCCTTCAAATCCACACCCACCTCACCCACCCCCACATAGGTAGGTAGATCAACGATCAAGCTCAAGCTCAATCAAGCTCAGCAACCGCAGCCCGAAACACACAGTACCCCTACCTCGTACCCTCTCGATTATCAAGCCTTACTAGAAGGATATTACACAACCGTTCCGTCGACGGTATATCACGCCTAACTATTCTCCTATAACAACATGTAGTATCAACCAGAAAAATCACCACTTAATTTAAGTAAACCAAGCCCATGATCGTGTAGTGCAGTACACATTAACACCTCACCATGACTTCACGATGACATATCGCCGAACAACACAACAGTATCTGCTGGATCGTATGAGCTTAGTTCCGCGCCCTAAGACAGGGTCTAGAACTTGCTTGCACTTACAGTAAACTACTCAACGCATGCACCACTCAGATATCCTTGCGGATCGTGTTGTGCACATACTGTAGCATGATAGTATGTGCGAGGAAATAATTTAATGATCCTGAGTCGTTGATAACAACCCCATCAACAACTTTTTTACAACTGTCCTCAGCTATTGAGACTGAGGAGAGAATCACATCAAGCAATCCATCACTGGAGAACCCTTTTAAGATATATACATTATATATTGTAAAAAGCTGAGGACTCATAACACACCCTCTTCTTTCACTCCTCCATCGCAGAAGTAGATGAGAAACCGTGGACGACAACCTCGGGATGATCCCAACAAGGTAATTCCGAAGGTCCCCGGGCCTGGGGGGGGCGGTTTCAACTTGCAGCACCGGGTATGGTCCCGACCCCTTATCTTCATCTCACCTCACGTGCTTCGAAGAAAAAAGGGTCTCGAAGGTTTCATCACCCAATTCTCGTGATCGGCCGCCCGGGGGAAGGATGACTAACCCAGACATACGTAATCACGAGTCATGGGAAAAGAAGAAAAAAAAAAAAAGCCAAGATTAACTCTGAGGGGGAGGTTGGAACTAGTCCCGTTGAAGATCCCGTTTTCTCTCTCTCTCTCTCTCTCTGATCCGTTCTCAGGCGTTGTCGCTAATATTAGCAACGGACATAGAGTACAAATTATATATATCTACGGTACTTTAATATGGAAGGAGAGGATGAAGGGTAGAGGCACAAAACCTGGGAATCTTCAGTTGTATGGTTAACTCATCAACGAGTTGTCGCTTAATCTTGCTACGATTTAGAAAAAAAAACACAGAAGAACAGACAGAGTATAAGGTTCGGAGTCTCCTGTTGGGCCAGACAAACGAATGAAAAGAGGTCAACCTACGGTATGATGCGATGCTTTTGATCAAGGGAAATGTTTGCCGCCGATTTTCCTCCAGGGTCTGGCCACCATGGACCCCTACTCAAGGTCTCTCCTCTTTCTTCCTTGTGCTGTTGAACCATTGGCATTCGGCATCAGAGACACTTCTAACCTACTCCGTAGAGGGATCTACCCCCTTCCTTCATGGATGGCAGGATCGGGACCACCAAAAAGTCAAAAATCCGAAGAGCAGAGGATAGCCAGATCTCGACACGTCTTGTTTTTCTTCCCCGGGTCTCAATGGGATTGCGAGTCATTTTCACCGACAAAATCCCCAATTGAAGGGCCAAGTGCTCCCATTATTTTTAAACCTCCCCTTGGCCAGGCCCCGCCAGGGTCTAGGGCAGATGTGTGGTTGACAGGCACCTTGGGAGAGACTCACCGAAGGGGCTTAGCGGGATGGGGTCTTTCCTCCAGGCTTCAGGCTCTCCCAAAGTTCCCTCGGACCTCCAGCCAGATCTTGTTGCTATGCCAAGACGGACGCTTGCGCGTCTCCGCCACCAATCCGTCCCGATTAGGAAGGATACCGTAATCATGTAACGCCGGGCGGTTTGAAATTGCTTCCATATCGAGTTGGTCCAGAGAAAAGGGAAAAGGGAAAGGGAGGCTGAGGCATGAAGCCTGGAGGGGTTCCTGCACCTTCAATCTGTCGGTCTGTACGGCTGTCGGCTTGGTCGGGCCGTGCGACCATGTTGCTCAGCGCTCTTTTCTCTCTCTCCGGGGAAACTGGGTTTCGCCGTGCTCCTGAATGTTCCATGTCAATCATGATGCAAAGGTCTTATTCATCACAGGGTCTTCTCTGGGAAGGAAAGGAGGAGGTGGCGAGACGGATGTCTATCAACTTATCAATGTCTTGCGTCGCGTACATGAAAATCCTGTCTGTCCGTCTGTGGGGATAGCTGCTGCAATATTGCAGGTGCCGCGTAGTGCTTGTGCTGGATAGGGTGCACGTCTTATCTGTGCGGTGCTCACTCAAGAAAGACGCTTTCTAGGAGAGGGGGTCTAGTTCACATATGTATACGTACGATCAGCCCTGATAGTCATTGTGTGTGTATCACATGGCATACGTCAACGCCAGAGGATTCGTCGCCTGGTGAACCCATGAGCAATCATCAGGATTTTGACCCGAACGACAGGGCCCGTTTCGAGTCGGTCGGACTGAAGGAGACCTGCATGGGCTTCGCAATGCATGCCGGAACTCGGACTTAGGGGTCTATGAGGGCATGTAAGGCATAGAGGATAGGGCCTCGACCTCAATTCACATTGATCAGGATCACCATGACCATCGGCCGGCTTAAGTCTATCCCGGCCAGCATCGTGGTTGGTCCTTATAGGAGGCATCATGGATTGACGACCTGGATCCTCTGCACTAGATATCATGTCGCAAGCACCTAGCGGAGACTGACCAGGAGTTTGGAAGTTGGATACTGCCGTTTCGGGACTTCGTTCAGCAGAAAAAACCCCAGTTAGTTAGCAAATAGTCACCTTGCTTCCTACGTTCAATTCGTTAGCCTGTTACATTATTTTCGCATCTCGTCCTATTTGCCCAGAATCGTTACTCTTTTCCAGCAAGGAAGCTCGATCTCTAACTTCCGATGGGATATCCACTGCTTCGTCAGCGGAGCAAATAGTCTGAGTGGGTGCAATTCCGACTATGGGTCCAGTATACTCGTAAGGCTATGCGGTTGAAGCCGCGATAGATAATTAATTGCCTAGTTGGGGAGGGAGATCGATGAAGCTCTTCGGTTAGGCTGTCATTTTCTCCGAAATGCCCTTACTTGAAGCTTTAGAAAGTGCGTTCTCGGAGGAAGAGAGGATGAGGGCAAGAAGAGAAAAAAATCGCTGATCCGGTAGCCTGGAGATGAAGTGGACACTACGTGCGTTGTGCACGGTCACTAAGCATGACAGAGTGACCGATGGTGACATTTTTTAGCCTGTTGGTCAGAGAGCCGCGTAAGACGGGCAGGCTGACGTCGAACGAGATCCCCCATGGCGCGGACCCGGAGTGCGGTCGGTCGCGCTCGAGGATTGCCTTGTTAGGAGATTTTGTTCAGACGCGTCGACGAGAGGAGAAAAAAATTTCAGATACTCATATGGTCGCAATCATTTGTCTCGCCGCCCAAGGAGGATGATGAAGCCCTTCGGAATCCAAGGTATAGCAGTGATCGGAGGCTTGCGTGGACGTGTCTTGTGAAGAAGAGAAAATCCCTCTTCCTTTCTAGTCATGGAGAAGCGAGCAGAGAGCCAAGCTTTGGGAAAGAAGCATCAGCAAGTGGTTTTGTACCCCATCAAAAGACTAAATTGTTGCCAATGTGCCATGCGATGTAGGCATCGCAAGCAATGAGTGGAGCCAAGACATCCAATTTCGCAAGCACCCCGTAAACGCATCAACAATCAAGCAAAGGATGGCAATGGCTTCAGCAGTTCTGCTGCTGCTGCTGCGACGACGAGAGGACGACTGTTGGTAGGGGTAATATTAGGGGAGGAAGGGTGGCAGTGGGAGTGGTTGTGCCAAGGGCTTATTGCCACAGGGGGTAATGGTAGTAAAAGGAGAATAATTTGCAACGAGAGCATAGATACCTACGATGAGGATGCGTGGCAGTAATGCCAACCCTCCCAAAAGATGCGGACGGAAGCAAAGAGGGTCTTGGCCATGGTTCAGTTAACTGTTTCGGGGCGGGACACACGCGGCTTGCGGTGCTGGCGCGGGGCCCTGATTGGGGCGAGGAGCTCAAGGCTGACGACGCTTCGCCCTCGCTGCTGGCGTGGATGAAAAAAAAAATGGCCCTTTAACCCAAAAAATCCATTTTCTGCTAAGCTACTTCTTATCCAACCACGCTAGACACTCCCAGAGTCCTAGTACGGGTCCAGTCAATCAGTCAGTTAGTCAGTTAGTCAGTCACCACTGCAGCTGGCACTCAAGTCACTGCGCACTTCCTACAGAGCGGACGGTTTCTTCTGAAAGTGCCTGTCTTGTGTCGTAGACTGCCCCATCCAATACTGCGTGTGGTCTGGTCCTCCTCTCTTCTTCTTCTTCTTCCTCCACCACCAACACCACTCTACCCTACTACAACTCTTTCTTTTTTCCCCATTCTTCCTCATCATCATCGTCGTCGTCGTCCTCACCTGTTAGCGGACTCCTCCTCACTTTGTAGTTTTATCCACCTTCTTAACTTAACTCTAACCGCTTCTCTCTTTCGTTTCTTTCCCTCTTTCTTCCTTTCTTCTCTCTTCCGCTCCCCTTTCGGACTCCCTTCCCTTCCCTCCCTCTCCCCTCCCAATTCCAATCTTCGCCTTACCCTTTCGGTCGTTCTCGGAGCCACGTCCTTCAATCTACTCTTCACTTCTGTTTCACTTTACCTGTAGCCCATTGTCGACTGGCTTCAGGTTCATCTTCGTTGCTCCTACTTCTCCTCCTTCATAGTCGTGGCGGTTACCTTGACTTCAGCGCCAAGCGTGGCGACCGCCTGGCTGGGCTGTGCGACCATCATCATCCTGGTCGGCCGACTTGACTGACCGATTCTTTTCTTTCGACAACCAACTCTTGAGACCCGTCTCCTGCCAAACAGCTCTATTGTTCTGCAACCGACTCGGATTCATTGTTCGAAATACCTCAGTTGGAATTGGGAATTGACTTTGTTCACCCTGGAGATCTATACGCCTTACTGCCGCCGCTGGTGTCATTGACCCTGCCCCTACCACCCATCCACAACCATGGCAGACGGAAGACACCACCACCACAACCAGGCGACGAATCCTGAAAACTTCGATGCCGGCGAACTGACAAATGCATTTGAACAATTGATGCGCAACAAGCGATTCAACCAACTCCAAGAACAAGCCCGATCACAATCTCGCACCCAATCACCCTCTCCCGGCCTCTACCCTCCTCCCCATCCCTCGCGAGCACCACCACCGCCGCCCCCGACCGCACCTCAGTATCCGGCCCACCAAATGCCTCCGCAAACATCGTCACAGTCACCCCTACTTCGCAGCCTACCGATCGTTCCTGCCCCTCCTCAAGATCCGGTGTCCCTCAAATTTCGCAACCTCCTCCACGTTCTCTCCGTGACACCAACTAAGTACGAAAATCCAGGTCTTCTCGATGAGGCGCTCTCTCACATCCCTCTCGATCGGTTGTACGCGGAAGCAGAGGAGGAGAGCCAAATATTGCAGGCCCAGGCAGCTAGTGTAGGGGAACGACCAGAATGGGGTTATCAAGATTGTGTCATTCGGGCCTTGTTAAGGTAGGCTTAACTTCCTTTTAGAGAGGTGACAGGATTGACAACTTACTTACTTTGGGTACCAGATGGTTCAAACGCTCCTTCTTCCAATTCGTCAACAACCCCCCTTGCTCTCGCTGCTCCATGCCTACAATCGCACAAGGCATGACTCCTCCTACGCCCGATGAGACCGCACGGGGTGGCACTCGAGTTGAACTCTATCGATGCTCGGAACCTAGCTGCGGCGCTTACGAGCGGTTCCCTCGGTACTCCGACGTGTGGCAGTTGCTGCAGACGAGACGGGGACGTGCAGGAGAGTGGGCCAACTGCTTCAGCATGTTCTGCAGAGCCCTCGGAGGCCGTGTGCGTTGGGTCTGGAATGCTGAGGATCATGTCTGGACTGAGGTCTATTCCGACCACCAGAAACGTTGGATTCACGTTGATGCTTGCGAAGAGGCATGGGACCAGCCCCGTCTTTACACTGAGGGTATGTGCTTCATTGTACCGGTGCATATGAGGGATGCTAACGCAGATTGACATAGGTTGGGGCCGCAAGATCTCATACTGCGTTGCGTTCTCGATTGACGGAGCTACGGATGTCACCAGACGATATGTTCGAAGCCCGACGAGGCATGGCGCTCCACGGAACCGTGTGCCCGAGGAAGTTCTAGTTTGGTGTATCCACGAAATTCGGAAAAAGCGCCGCGAGAATTTGTCCAAGACAGACCAGCGACGCCTGATGAAGGAGGACGAACGCGAGGAGAAGGAGCTCCGTACCTACACCGCATCCGCCCTTGCAGCCGAGCTGAACAACCTTTTCCCTCGGAACACCACCAACAGCCGCTTGGAAGACCAGAAGACCCCCGCTTCCCGACAGGATGCCTCCGTCGAGTGGCTAAACAACAGACAAAGAACATCCGGCCAGTCAGGCCCAGATGGCTCGCAGGACGGCCGCTAACGACGCGTTCCCTGAACTGTCCAC